GACCCCTCACCAACTGCTTTTCACTCGGACTATGTCACAGAAATAGCAATGGCCATGTGTTGAGTGTTTATTGTACACCAGGAACCATACCCTGCATTTTACACCCATCATTGCATTTCTTTCTTTCTACCACCTTTGAGGTAGGTACAATAATAATCTCCATTTTACAGATAAGGACACAGATTCAGAGAGGAAAACCTACTTATCCAAGCCCACACAACTGGGAAGTGGCAGACGGGAATTTTAAGTCCTCTGTTTTTCAACCACTATCCCACACTGCCCCCTCAGACCCTCAACCAGGCTTCCATCCTGAGTGTCTACTCCAGCCAGCAACCTCCCCTTGGCTAACCTCACCCCACCCACAGGCAGGCACAGAGTACACAGAGCTCACAGCTGTAACTTGTAACCTTCGTATTCCCTTCCTGGGCTCCGGTTCTAGATCCTTTAGGACTTGTGTTAAGTCTCACCTCCTCCCTTCACTAGATGTGTGGCCTTTGGGCAAGCCATTTTAACAGGTGAAGATTAAATGACATAATGAATGTGAAAATGTCTAGCACAGAAGCTGGCACATTGTGTGTTCTAGGTAAATGGGGAAGACCAGGCCAAGAGGAGTATAGATGTCCCGAGAAGCCCTGAAAAGCTGACCCCTAACTCCACAGAGAGACACCTGAGATCTTCCAGCCTCTCTACTTTGCATTCAACCCTTCTGGCAAATACATCCTGCCTCTATCCCCACCATTCATGATCCTTTATAAATCCTTGGGCTTTAGAGTCAGAAAAACTGAGTTATAATCCTGGCTCCACCACTTACCACTTGTGTGACCTTGGACAAGTGACTTTTTCCTCTTTGAGGCTCAGTGTTCTTATCTATAAAATATCAATAATTGCCCAGCTGGTGTGGCTCAGTGGTTGAGCGTCGATCTGTGAACCAGGAGATCGTGGTTCAATTCCCAGTCAGGGCACATCCCTGGGTTGCAGGCTCAGTCCCCAGTAGGGGGCGTGCAGGAGGCAGCTGATTGATGATTCTCTCTCATCGTTGATGCTTCTGTCTCTCTCCCTCTCCCTTCCTCTCTGAGATCAATAAAAAGATATCTTAAAAAATATACCAATAATGGCACCTATTCCATAGGATTGCTGTGAGGATTAGAAAATAGTATGCGTGTAAATGTTTAGCAAATGCTCAAGCATTTAGTAAAGACTCAGAAAATATTAACAATTTTTCCTGAATAATAATAACAGTCATAGCTGCCTACTGATTAGAGTCCAAACTCCTTGATTCAGTATTGAGAGCCTTGCACCTTGTAGCCCTATTGCTCCTTCCTGGCCTCTCCTCCCTCCTGCTATTCCCCTATGTGGATGTCACGCTCAGTTCAGACGTGGCTTTCTTACCTCTGTGCCTCTGTCCATGATCTTCCTCTCCATTAAGAAGCTCTCCCAAACCTCACACCTGTCCACACCCTGTCCTGCTCGAGTCTCACCTTTCGAGTAAGCCCATAGCCTCCTCTATTGTCCTGAGTTTCCACTCTGTCTGCACTTGTCTTACCTAGAGTATCCCTCTTCCAGTGGTCACATGTGACTTCTCTTTGCAGGAATTGACCTTCCTCTACTACCAGCCCACGTGTTCTAGGGTTTAATTAAGAGGTGGACACCTGACCAAAACTGAGCCAATAAGAATCAACTCTGGAACTTTCGCTGGAACCATTGAGTAACAGGTGTTCTTTTTTAACAGGCATTGCTAAGCTATAGCAATGCAGTTTCAGAGCTGTTAGTAGCTGTATTTATCACCTTTAAGAGAGAAGCAGACTTGCCCTGGCTTGTTTGGCTCCGTGAACAGAGCGTCGGCCTGTGGACTGAAGGATCCCAGGTTCAATTCTGGTCAAGGGCACATACCTGCGTTGTGGGCTCAATCCCCACTGGGGGGTGTGCAGGAGGCAGCCAATCAATGATTCTCTCTCATCATTGATGTTTCTATCTCTCTCCCTCTCCATTTCTCCCTGAAATCAATAAAAATATATTTTTTAAAAAAAATTTTAAAGAGAGAAGCAGGCTTAAAAATAAGCCAATACAGAGGAACAAAGAAATGGAGAGAGACATATTATAATGGCATTATTTGATCATCTAGATCCATCCATTCCTGAAATCAGATACTCTTGACTTTTAAGTTATGTGAATCAAAAACACTACCCTCTTTATTACTTAAATTTTTTAAAAATTATTTTATTTTTAGAGAGGAAGGAAGGGAGAGAAAGAAACATCTATGCAAGAGATTGAACCTGCAACCTAGGCATGTGCCCTGACCAAGAATCGAACTTTCAACCTTCTGGTGCACAGGATGATGCTACCAACAACTGAGCCACACTGGTCAGGGATACTGTATATTATTTTTATTTATTTAAGCCAGTTTGAGTTGGGTTTCTGTCACTTGCTAGTGAAAGACCGCTGACCAATATAGTGATCTAACTAGATGATAACTTGAGAGCAGGAACTGCATTTTATAGCCTTATAAAATGCTCTCAAATCCTTGGGGACAGGGATGATCTTAGTGTCACAGCACATAGCATAAGGATGACCACAAAGCAGGTAAGGAATAAACTCAGAAATCTCTAGCCAAAATGGAATCAACTGTTCAACTCTGATAACAGCCCTCAGGGATGGGACAGTAGCACAAGAGAAAGAGCACTGGGCTAGGAGTCAAGACTAATTTACTCACTTACTGGCTGTGTGACTTTGGGTAAAACCATAATTTCCCTAGGCTCAGTCTCTTCTCTCTAAAATGGGGGCAGGAGGCCTGGCCAGCGTGGCTCAATGGTTGAGAGTAGATCTATGAACCAGGAAGTCACAGTTCGATTCCCGATCAAGGCACATGCCCAGGATTCGGGCTCGATCCCCAGTGTGGGGCATGCAGCAGGCAGCAGATCAATTATTCTCTCTCATCACTGGTGTCTCTCTCACTCTCTCCCTTCCTTTCTGAAATCAATAAAAATATGTTTAAAAATTTAAAAAAAAAATGGGGGGCAGGGGAAGGTGGTATTTGAAGGAGCTGATCTCTAAGATCCCTGAAACTCTATAATTACATAGAGGTTGTGGAACTGTTCACCCAGTCCCCAAGATTAAACCCACTTGGATTACAGAGAACTAAGAGGCCAAGAGGTCAGCAACCCATCTGCAAACTCCAAATTAAGGTTGAGGAATTGGGGGTTCCAACTGAGCATATATTCTTTCCTACTTGCCTTTGGAAGAAGAATAGAATTTAAATACATAAAATCATGTTCTGGGTACCACTGAGATATATGGAGAGATATGTCCCATATCCTAACAATTCCCCTTTCTTACCTGCTTAAAAAAAAATCTAAGTTGAATGGATTGAAAAAGCTCAGAGGATATCCACATCTGAATAAGCACTAACTTGTTCAAAGTAGTTCTTTTGGGAGTTTGGGCAATTCTTCCAGTGGCCCAGTACCTCTTGCCTGCATCTGTAGAAGTCCCCTTGGAAAGCAAACCAGCCTCAAGATTTTGCCCTCACTCCTTGGCTTTCATCCCAAGTGACAACTGTCAATTTGATCACCCATCCTATTGTCCACACTTGTCCCTGAGTGACTTCCAGCCATTTCCAAAAATCATATTCCTCCTTTAAAAGATGGGAGTTTCCCCTCTCAATGTTGACCTTCAAGAGAATACATCCCATGCACCCAAGATAATTCCCTACAACGTTTTCAGCAGTGGAAAAATCGACAAGTGAGAAAGCACTTCCTCCAGGGGACTCTTTCGAAGGGGCCAACACTTGTTGAATGCTAGCCCTGGCTGGGTAGCTCAGTTGGTTAGAGTGTCATCCTGATATGCCAAGGTTGCAGGTTTGATCTTCAGTCAGGGCACACATAAGAAGCAACCAATGAATGCATAAAAAAAAGTGAAAGAACAAATTGATGTTTCTCTCTCAAATCAATCAATAATAATTAAAAAAAAAACACTTGTTAAATGCTCTGAGGTGCTTATTTTGAAAAACTATCTCTGTTGCATGATCATCATATTTTCCCTTCTCCCTCTCACCCTGGAGGGCTCCAGATTTTTTCCTAGCCTTCATCAGCCCTCCTCCCCCATCTTCTGGCCCCACTTTTCCTAGCCCAACTCTCTTCCCTGACTGCAATTAGGCAAATGCCCAAGTTGCTGAATCTTCAAAATCTGTCTTCGATCGAAAGGCGGGCAGGCGTGGGGGACTCTAATGGATCCTGAAAAACGGTCTCAGCAATTTTTATTCCCAAAGGCCCTTCTCCGATTCTTAGGGTAAGATGTCTGTCTTAGCCAAACATTTCAGAGGGTCCTAGGAATTCATTCCCATTTGGGCACAGCACCAGAACCCTCCTCCCTGCATTGAGTGAGAGTGGGGAATGGAAATCAGTCCTCCAGAGACCCATGTTGCCAGGTGCTGTTAACCACCCACACTTCAAACACTGAATAGACACTATGGGCAGCCTCCTCCTATATCTTAGCACAGCACTTTAAAGTTTACAAGATACTCATTTGTTCTTGGAATCCTCTCCACTGTCTTACGGATGAGAAAACTGAACCCCAGAGAAGTAAAGTGAAAGATCCAAGTTTATGATGTCAGGAAGTTAAAGGTCAAAGTCAGATCTCTTGAGTCACCATCTCAAGTTTTTTTCAATACAACAAACATCGTTCACACCTAGAGACACTTCTCATTCTGGTCATTATTTCCCCTAAAACAGCCAACAGAGTGTCTCAGGGGCCCTCAGAGACTCTACCATAACTCTAACCCACCCATAAACGCAGTCCACCCATATCCAACCCCACAGCCCCAAAGACCCATTTCTAAGGCGTCTCTCTCATAGAATTCTCCCCTCACGGCTGAGGGACAACCGAAGGTGTGTTTTTAGACGGAGGAGAAGAATCTGTCTCTGATTCCACCAAGAAAGGGTGCTAAAAGGAGGGAGCCGCTTCCTCCAGCTCCTGCTCTAGGGGTCCCGCCCCCGCCCCTCCCCTACCTGCCAAGAGCTGCATCCAGGCACAGATCTTGTAGACCGTGGCGGTGTTGCAGAAGAAGAAGAGCGAAAAGCAGGTAATGCAGCCGAGGATCAGCACCATGGAGAGCAGCACGAAGAAGGCGGCCGCCTTGAAGGCGCCGGACGGGATGGTGCTGAAGTCAGTGAAGGAGCCGCGGCAGGTGAGCTCGCGGCCCGTCAGCCCGCTGCCCACACAGTAGTGGAAGAGGCCGAAGTAGCCGGGCTTGGGGGTGCTCACGCTGTCGCCCACCCAGTAGGGCTGGATGAAGACCACCACGTTGATGATGGCGAAGCAGATGGTGAAGATGGCCCATAGCACGCCGATGGCCCGCGAATTCCGCATGTAGTGCTCGTGGTAGAGCCTGGAGGCCTCCTGCGAGGGCAGCATGGTGCCCGGGGGCGGGGCCGGCGGCGGCGGCGGCGGCTGGCGGGGGCCGCCGGCCCGGGACCGACCGCCGGGCTGCCGGGCGGGAGCTGGGGACGCACCGAGAAGCCGCCCTGAGAGCCGGGCCTGGGGCGGAGCCGGGAAGACCCCGGGGCCTGGAGAGGGGAAGCTAGCAGGGGGTCATGAGAGTGTTGGGTCGCTGTCTGTGGGTGACTTAGGAAGGGGCCATGTGAAAGTTGGGGCGCTGGGGTGAGTGAGGGGGCTGTGGTGAGCAATGGGAGTTGGAATGGGGGGTTAGGAAGTGGTCATGGGGAGCTGGGGAAGGAGTCGGGGGCTGGTGTTAGGGGAGTAGAGGGACCGTGCGGAGACGGATGGAGGCTGAGGGCTGGGGGCCGGTATTGGAGGATTGGCAGAGGGGCTGTATAGAGGGAGCTCGGAAGGGAGTTGGGGGGCTGGTATTAGGGACAGGAGGTCTGGTATTGGGTATCTGAGAAAGGGCTGCGGAGAGGGGAGTGGGGGCTTCTACTGTGAGGTAGGAAGGGGGTATTAGGGGCTTTCCTGGGGGGATTGGGAAGGTGATATGGGGGCTGGGACAGGGAGTGGGGGTTGGTATGAGGGTCTAAGAAAGAGAAGTAGGGGGATCAGGGTGAGGCTACATAGGAGTCGGGGGCTGGGACTGCAGGGTCTGGACCCGGGGTGGGGGGGTCCGAGGGGCTCCTCAGAAGCCAGGGCTGGATGTAGCTGGGAGGGAGCCTAGGACTGGCGCGCCAGGGCTGGGCAGAGAGGTTCGCCAGGCCCAGGGGACGAGGGACCGGGGTCGGCAGGCAGTCTGGGCTGGGAGGGGCGGGCAGATGTCCCCTGGGCGCCGGAGAGCAGCCGGGCCCGGGGAGGGCCGTGGGGGGGTGGGGGGGGCGGCTGCCCCGCGCCCAGGCCGGACGCACACGGAGGCTGCGGCCGCGGGGAGGGGGTGCGGGGAGACCAACCTGGGCCCGGTCCGGGGCAGCGGGTCCGGGACTGGCACGACCTAGGCGCCGCGGCTCGGCTCTCCGGGCAGCGGCGGCCTCAGCCGAGGCGGCGGCCGCGGCGCGGCCTCCATCTTGCTCGGCTCTCCTGGGCGCGCTCCGGTGCCAAGGCGCGCGCTCCCGGGCCCAGGCGCGCCGAGCGGAGGCGCGCTCCCGCCGCGAGCGTGAGGAGCGGGGCGGAACCGGGTCGGGGTGGCGCGGTCCCGCAGCGCGCCCAGCCGGAGCAGTAAGTCCCCTGCACGGTAGGGCCCTCTGGTTTGGGGGACCCCCTTCTTCCAGCCTACATTGTGGGGCTGTGGGTCCCCGCAAAGTCCATGGGAATGGGGCGGGGCCGAACGCGGTGTTATTTGATAGGGTTTGAACTGATCTCTCTCCCCATTACCTTCCTTACAGCCTATCACAGCGCCTCAAGTTGCACTATTCGCTTCCAGTCCTTTGGGTCTTGTGGGCGTTGAAGGCTCCCAGAGTCTCCTAGGAAACTGCCAACACCTCTGGGAGAGGGAACCCCCAAACTGTTAGCGGCCCGTGCCTGCGGGGGGGGAGGGGTTCACTGGCCGCCAGGCAAGGAACAGGCCCCACGGTGAGGGGACAGGGGAGGAGAGTGGGACCGTGTTTGTTACCTTCCTTACACCGTCCCCAGCGCCTGGCATGAAGTGGGTACATCATTAAGAACAAAGCCAGGCTCAAAGGGAGGCCGAGCACACCCTGGGGGCACTCCTAGAAGGCCGCACGGGTCATTTCTTTCCCTGTAGGGAAATAGCTTTGGCTTAGGATCTGCCAAGGCGACCTGGGTTGGCGCTCAGACAAACCCTGACTCCTTACTACCTCTTTGACCTTGTGCTTGCGCTCTCTGAACCTCTGCTTCCCCATCTGTAAAGTGGACAGATTAAGCTTTGATTTTAAAAAGCTAAGATGAAAGTGGGCTTTGAAAAATAATCTTTACTAGTGGGTTCCAAATATTGGACCTCACACAGGGGTCAGTCTGATTAAATTTACCTCTATCTTGGGGGGAAAAATATGTAAGGTTGCCAATTGTCTTTTTTTTTTTTTTTCCAGGAGGGAAAGGGACCAGTTGTTGTTTAAAAAAAAAAAAAAATAGTCCCAAATAACTTACCTACATCCCCCCAAAAGAGAGCAGGGCTGTTATCCTGGATTGTTTATACTGTAAAAGAATGCCTGAATAGGTGAGCTACTCCTAACATCTTGGAACTGAAAGACCAGAATTTGAGGCCCATCTCTGCCACTGATCAACAGTGTGACCCAGGTCAAGGATGCTACTCTTCAGAGCCCTACTTTCTTCATTTATAAAATGGAGAAAAAACATCCTTCCTACAGATGTTGTAAGAATTAAAAGAGATAATGGATGGGGGAAAAAGCTTTGTAAATTGAAAATGGCTTTATAAATGTAAGTGATTGTCATTAAATTTTAATAAGTGGCTTTTCCAAAGAGTAGAAATAGCAGTATTGGAAAGGCACTTGCTGAGCTGAGAGTAGCTGGGAAAGAATGTCTCCTCATTTTAAAGACAAACTGTGGGGGCAGTTACAGAAAGAAAAACTTTTTAAAAATATATTTTTATTGATTTCAGAAAGGAAGGGAGAGGGAGAGAGCGATAGAAACATCAATGATGAGAGAGAATCATTGATCAGCTGCACACCCCCTACTGGGGATCGAGTTGCAACCCAGGCATATGCCCTTGACCGGAATCCAACCAGGGACCCTTCAGTCCGTAGGCCTACGCTCTATCCACTGAGCCAAACCAGCTAGGGCCAGAAAGAAAATTTGAGAGCTTCTCATTGTCCTCAGGGAGTGGCCAGACCAGAATGGAACAGTTGTGGGATCAAGATGGGGACTATGGACCATAAGGAAAGGTGATGCCGGACTGAGCACCTGGCTGAGAAGAGAGCCACCAGGACACTTCCAGCCAATATCCTACCAGAGAAAGATTTGCTGGGTACTCTTATGTCTAAGTTAAGTGTTCAGTTATGTTGAACAGTTATTAAGCGCTTAAAACATTCTAGGTCCCCTGATCTTTGCTTTATATGTATTGTTCATTTAATCTTCACAATAATCCTATGAGATTGTGTTATGGGCTGAATTGTGCCCTCCCCACCAATTCATATATTGAAGTCCTAACCTCTAGTACCTCACAAAGTGACTGCATTTGGAGATAGGGACTTTAAAGAGGTTATTAAGGTAAAATTAAGTCATATGGGTCAGCCCCAATGCAATATGACTGTCCTCATAAAAAGAGATTAGGACATATAGCTCACAGACCAAGGGACAACTATGGAGGACACAGTGAGAATGCAGCTATAGGAAAGAGGCCTCAGAAGAAACCAAACTTGACAGCAAACTTGATCTTGGACTTGATCGAGCTTCCAGAACTGTGAGAAAATTAATTTCTGTTGTTTAAGCCACCAATGTATAGTATTTTGTTATGGTAGCTCTAGGAAACTAATACAGGTAGGTACTGCTATATGGCCATTTTACAGAGGTTAAATGACTTGCCCAAAGTCACCCCTCTAGCAAGTGGACGACCTGAGATCTATTTATCCCCAGGTAACCTGCCCCAGTGTGCCCACTCTTTTAAAAAAATTTTGATTTGAGAAAAAGAGAGATTGATTTATTGTTCTACTTGTTTATTCATTCATTGGTTGACTCTTTTTTAAAAAATCCTCACCTAAGTACATGCTTTAAAGAGAGGAAGGGGGAGAGAGAGAGACAGTGAGAGAAACATCGATATGAGAGAGAAACATCAATCGGCTGCTTTCCATTCATGCCCCAACTGGGGATCAAACCCAAAACCTGGGTATGTGCCCTGATCAGGATTGAACCAGGACAACGCTCAACCAACTGAGCCACTCTGGCTGGGCCATTGGTTGACTCTAATATGTGCCCTGACTGGGGATCGAACCCACAACCTTGGTGTATTGGGACAATGCTCTAACTAACTGAGCTACCCAACCAGGGCCAAGAGTACCCATTCTTAATTACTGCACCATATAGGTCATTCCATAGAATGGATTCATTTCTCCTCAACTACTTTTGTTTCCTTTTTAAAATTCATATCATTTAGTTATGAGCACATGCACTGGCGTCAGACATCTGGGCTTAAATCTCATTTCTGCTCACAATTGCTCTTAAGCCCATTTCCTCCTCTGTAAAGTGGGGATGATGGATAATGGTGGTACCTCACTCCCAGTGTTCAGGAAGGTTGAATGACATATCGTGCACATACGGTGCTGAGCACTTGGAAAACATTCAAAGCTATTTGCTGTTATCATTGCATTGCTAGAAAGTGCAAGTTTTGGGATTCAAACTCGAGACTGGTTTGGTCAGAGCTAGTGCACATAACCCTTACATGGAACTGTTCAAAGTTGATGAGTCTCTCTAGAGCAGCATGGGAGCTGTGAAGTCAGACACATGGGTATTTGTATTCTGTAATACCCAATAACTGTGTGGCTTGAGTAATTTTTTTAAATTCTCTGAACCTATAAAATTGAACTGACAACTCCTAACCTCACGTGGTTTAAATGAGGTAAAATCTGTGAGATTTTGGTCACATAGTAGATGCTCAGTAAAGATTAGTAGAAAGGATTTCATATTTTGTAGAAGGTTAGTTCTAAAGACAAATGCAATTGAAGACAAATAAGGTGTAAATTACTCTTTATTACCTGAATGTGTTCCTGCAGAAATTTAGAGAAGGCTGACAATAGTAAAGCCATGTTACAAGCCTTCAAGACACCGAAGGCATGAAGGTCCTTGAAAAAGGCTATAAGAAAAAAAAAAATACCCTTTAAAAAATTCCTTAATTGTCCATGAAGTACAATAATCAAGGTGCGTGGACACCAAACCACCCCATCCTATAGTTCTTAGGTACTAACAGTTAAGAAAACAACGTTTAAGAAAACCGAGATAGCCCTGCTGGTTTGGCTCAGTGGATAGAGCGTCAGCCTGTGGACTGAAGGGCCCTGGCTTCAATTCCAGTCAAGGGCACATGCCTGGGTCGCAGGCTTGATCCCCAGCAGGGGGTGTGCAGGAGGCAGCTGATCAATGATTCTCTCTCATCACTGATGTTTCTATCTCTCCCTTCCTCTCTGAAATCAATAAAAATATATTTTAAAAAAAATAAAGAAAACTGAGATAGGCTGAAGAAAGAAACAAAAGGAAAACCCATTTTCAGATATGGAGCCATTCAAACCATTCTGTCTTTAAAGGATTATTAATCCTTAAAAAGTTGGGGATGGATGAAAAATTCTAAAGGATCCATGTTCACCTGTATGTAGAATTTACTCTTATCTATAAAGTCTTCAAAACGCTAACACAAAAATAGATTAATTTTTGCTTGTGATGATTAAAACAAATAACACTGTCACCTCTTAAGGAATCAATCATTACATATCCCTATGACGCTGTAATGAAAAATCTGTGGGACTTGCCCAGAGTTCCTTTTCCTTTTCTTCTAGTAATGGTATCCGGCTTCTGTTAGGGAACTGCGCCCCCCTCCCTCTCTGGGCAGGAGTGGATATGGGTCCCAGGCCCGCCAATCATACTGCCTGTCTTAACCAACTCTGGCTGCTATTTCACTATACCATAAACCAGGGGCCCTCAAACTTTTTAAACAAGGAGCCAGTTCACTGTCCCTCAGACCGTTGGAGGGCCGGACTATAGTTTAAAAAAAAACTATGAACAAATTCCTATGCACACTGCACATATCTTATTTTGAAGTAAAAAAACAAAACAGGAATACAATATTTGTATTTGCATGTGGCCCGTGGGCCGTAGTTTGAGGACCCCTGCCATAGACTATGTGTCTTAAACAACAAACATTTCTTTCTCACAGTTCTGGAGACTGGAGCTCAGGGGCCTGTGTGGTGAGAGCTCTTTTCCTGATTTATAGTTGGCTACCTTCTGCTGTTCTGAAGTGGCAGAGAGAGAGAGTGCTAGTCTTTCGCTCTTTCTAAGGACATCAGTCCCATGATGGAGGCTCTACCCTTATGACCTCATCTAAACCTAAGTACCTCTCATTAATTAATTTTATTTTATTTGCATTTTTCTAATAACTAGGGATGTTAAACATCTTTTCATGTGCTTATTGATTGTATATCTTCTTTGGAGAAATGTCTGTTAATGCTATTTTCTCATTTTTGGATTGGGTTGTTTGTTGTTGAGTTGTAGGAGTTTTTCTTCATATTTTCAGAATATTAATTACTTAACACATATGACTTGCAAATATTTTCTCCCATACTTTGGGTTGTGTTTTTGTTTGTTGGTTTGTTTTTGTTTTTACAGAGAGGAGGGGAGAGGGATAGAGAGTTAGAAACATCAATGAGAGAGAAATATTGATCAGCTACCTGCACACTCCCTACTGGGGATGTGCCCGCAACCAAGGTACATGCCGGAATCAAACCTGGGACCCTTCAGTCTGCAGGCCGACACTCTATCCACCGAGCCAAACCGGTTAGGGCTGTGGGTTGTGTTTTAACTCTCTTGATAGTGTCCTTTGATGCATAAATGTTTTAAATGTTGATGAAGTCTAGTTTATCAATTTTTTTGCCTGTGCTTTTGGTGTCATATCCATCAAATTATTGCTAAACCCAATATCATGAAACCTTTTCCCAATGTTTTCTAAGAGTTTTATAGTTTTAGCTTTTACACTTATGTCTTTGATCCATTTGAATTAATTTTTCTGTAATGTCAGATTTCCAACTTCATTCTTTGCATGTGGCTATCTATTGAAAAGACTGTCCTTTCCCTATTGAATGATTTTGGAACCCTTCTTGAAAATCATCTGACCATACATGTGAGGGTTTATTTTTAGGCTCTCTATTCTATCCCATTGGTCTGTCTGTCTGTCCTTATACGAGTACTACTGTTTTGAAGGAAGCAATGGTTTTAATCATATTAAATATTAACATGATAGATTGTTGCTTGTATGCAGATGTCTCACTGTATTTTATTTATGTTTTGGGAAATTTGGAAGGGGCTTGGTGTTGACATGTCATGCATTATAATTTCTCCCATGTAAAATAATGGGAATCAGGCTTCTTCCAGTCTGTGTTTTCATACAGAATATCTGATTTCCAAAACAGATTAATGATGCTAAGCAAGAGATTCTGTATTTTATTTCTACCCCTTATTGATCATTTCTACATGTTTAGACATTCACACTTAACATAAAGTCAAAAATAAATCAAGATCTTAGAATCAGTTTGTTGATATCAACCAAAATTCCTGCTGGAATTTTTAAATGGATTAGATTGAATCTATATATCTGTTTGGGGAAAACTAACATCTTAACAACATTGAATCTTCTAATCCATGAACAAAGTATATGATTTGTCTCTGTTATCTTTGATTTCTTTCAACAGTGTTTTGTTTTTAGCAAACAAATCTTGCACAACTTTTTTTATTTTTAATTCGATTTCAGAGAGGAAGGGAGAGGGAGAGAGAGATAGAAGCATCAATGATGAGAGAATCATTGATCAGCTGCCTTCTGCATGCCCCCTCACTCCCCCACCCCGGGGATTGAGCCCGAAACCCAGGCATGTGCCCTGACTGGGAATCGAACCCAGGACCCATCAGTCCACACACCGATGCTCTGTCTGCTGAGCCGAACTGGCTAGGGCTTTTAAAAAATAAAGAAAAATCTTAAACGAATAAGGAAAAAACAAAAAACCACGTTTATTCTTGACTGCCATATGTTGGGTCTCTACATTATTGTTTTTAATCCTTTCAATGACCCAGTGACATATGTGGCAATGTCCCCATTTTATAAATGAGGAAACTGAGGCTTAGAGAACAAAGGTTGCTTTGCTCAGGGTCACAGAACCTGGAAACCCAGCATAGACATGTCTGCCTGGCTCCAAAGTCCATGTTTGGGCCATTTTTCCTCCTGTCTCCCCATCCCAGTTATTTGTAAGGATCAGGAATGTGATTTTCCATCTAGAAGGCAGAAATCAGAGTGGGGCTTGTTATTGAGTAATCCACCAGACAGCCCTTGATTAGCAATGGAAGTGAAATTCTACCAGACTCTGGGGATGCCATTTAGCAATATTAAATTTAGGGCGTAAATTAGTCTGACTGGAGAGTTCATTCCCTCCTGGTTCTGGCAGTTGTCATGAGAGAGATGTCTAGTGGGAATTCTGCCTCCTGGTTCAGATTTTCTGTAGACAAGATTCCAGAAGCCCAACTTTCCCACAGCATCTCAACTGCCCTGCGTTGGATTTGTTGTTTAGCCTCTCCATTCCCTGCAAGACCATGAACTGCAGCTCAAGGATCTCCCCACCTTGCTCAGCACTGACTCCCAGGCCCTCCCAGCGCTGCAGTGCCTGGCACGTAGTAGCGCTCCATACAAGTTCGTTTTATTAGGTGATTGATTAACACATAATTGAAAATGTGCCCTAGCCAGTTTGGCTCAGTGGATAGTGTTGGCCTGTGGACCCAAGAGTCCTGGGTTCGATTCCTGTCAAGGGCACATACCCGGGTTACCGGCTCGATCCCCAGTAGGGGGTGTGCAGGAGGCAGCTAGCCAATGATTCTCTCTCAACATTGATGTTTCTATCTCTCCCTCTCGCTTCCTCTCTGAAATCAATAAAAATATATTTTTTTAAAAAGAAAATGTAGCTGCCCCCAAATTAAGTTGAACTGTGTGTGCCAGGGTGTGCAAAATTCCCAATGGTCAGGTTAGCATCACCGAGGGAAACTGCCTCGATGGCACCTCCTGGTCTTTGAGGGTTTTCCAGGGACAGTCACTGGCAAATCACTCCGTAGCTCTTCCCATTGTGAGGTTTAGCCTGGTCACTGTTCCCTTCTTCTAGGCTTCTGCCTTTCTTCTGAAGTATGGTAGCAATCATGTAGAAACTATAGTTTAACTCTAACCCTGTTGTTTGGCTTAACAATAGAAAAGTTATTTTGATTTTCTGAATTGTATAAATCATCCCATTCGATTGAATGACTATCCCATTGATTGTTATCTTACTGGTTATCGAAGCACATTTTTCTGTACCTGGGAAACAGGACAGCACAATTATCCTAAATTGTCTTAGTGGCCACAGGTGGTGCGTTCCAGCTGACTCAGTGGTCCCAAGACCAGGACAGCGCAATTACTCTAAATTACCTCGATGGCTAATGTATTTCTGTCAACTCAGTGATCCGGAGACCCGAAACTGTAGTTAACATGCTTAATTCTGCTTCTGTAATCTGCTTTTTTGTGAGCGAGGTGCCTCATTCCAAACCTTGAGATGTAATCGATACCTTGGTGATCTTTGCCTATATAAGTCTGGTTTTGCCACCATCTTACTGCTATGAGATTTGGGAATGGCCCCTCATAGTCCCGGATTGCAGTAAATGTGACTCTTTAATTTGACTTCTTGAGGCGTCTTTCTGTGATTCGCAGGGTACATTACAACACTTCCTTCCACCTCACTTGGGTGACCACAAAAGACTCCCAGAAGCCAGTGCCTCTTCAAAAGCAAGAAAGAGGGGCCCTAATTTTTGGTCTATGTTTTAAAGAATTCCATATTCACAAACACACACATGAGATTTTGGTAGAGAACACACAGGCACTTCGTCATTTGGGATCTGGTGCTCAGTACTGGCACTGTTCAACCCATAACCCTAAGCATCCACTCCCACAACTCAGAGCCATGTTTGTCCACACCTCTAAAGAAAAGACAGCTGATCTAAATAGTTTCAGTGGATTGTGTCACTGCTACTATCCAGACAGACAAGGGACTAGAGGGCGATACGAGCGGTAGAACCACTTGGATAAAAGAAAA